CATAAACAGATGCATGTAACATTCCCCACAACCTTTTAATAAATAAAAATAAAATAAAGACCAGCCTCAACGTACTGAGGCTGGACACAGAGGAATGACAAGAGGAGAGGATCCTTAACCTTCTCTCTGCCTGCCTGCCTGCCTGCCTGCCTGCCTGCCAGCCAGCCAGCCAGCCATTTTTTGCCTCTCAAAATCTTCCCCAAGGTGCTTCCTCACCAGGCCCAGCGCTAGCACTCAGCATACAGGAGCAATCCACATTTTCCTAGAACACATCTTAATAGAAACAGGGACCAGCCAGTCTGTATTTACCAATATGAAAAGTTGTATTGTGAAATCATCATACAGTTCCCTAGTTTAGGATAGATTTGGATGCATACTTACTAGCCGCCCTGAGCCCGGTCTTGGCTGGGGAGGGTGGGGTATAAATAAATTATTATTATTATTATTATTATTAGAGTCATGCTTTCTTTCTATATGAGAATACCTGCATGGATTTGTGCATACTGCCTGTCGCCAATAATACAACACCACAAAATACATTGAGGATCATTTTGGGTGGCATGTTTTGGGTGCCCAGTAACACATACTGATGCTCATGCATATCCAAGCCAATGCATATCATGGCATAATGTAGCACAAAAGAAGAGAACAGCAGCTTATGCGTGGTAAGTGGCTGTTCTATTCATGGATGGGATAAGAGCTGCAGGCCAGGCTTGAAAAATCCTCTCCATCAGCAAGAGATTGAAAAAACTAAGGGCTGGGGAAAGATACAGAGAGAGGTTGAGAAAGAGCAGTTCAATCTTACCAATGAAATTTGCCTGTCATCGAACCCTTCAGGCTATTGCAAAAAAGAAAGAGGAACCTCTCAAAGGACCAACTGTACCACCTCAGGACTTCCCTCCAGATGCCTTCAAAGAAACAATGGCAACTTCCTCCAGAGTTGTATAATCCTTGCTGCATCTCTTATCAACCGCAAACAAGAAGTGACACTGTTGTCAGTCTTCAAGTGTGCTAAGACTACCCATTCGGCCACCACCACTGAGCTAGTGGCATGTTAGGATGGGTAAAAACCTGTCCCTGCCACACGCATTTGGATCCGATATTAAGTACATAGGTGATGCAGTGAAGTACTTGGTGGTTCCCATATATCCTCAAGAGCTGAAGTCAACTATACCACATGGGCAAAATAAAGCCAGGTTCAAAAAATCCTTCAAAATAAAGTGAAAGGACTAAGTAGTCTAAATGAGAGGCACAGATAGGATAACTATTTTCCCCCTCTAGACCAGTGTTTCCCAACTGGTGTTCCGCGGCACACTAGTGTGCCGCGAGACGTTGCCTGGTGTGCCGTGGGAGGGAGGCGGGCGAGTCGGGCGGCGAGAGGCGGGGCGGCGGCGGCGAGGAGAGGCCGCCCAGCGCGGGGCTCTCGCCGTCTGCCTGCCTGGCTGCCTGCGTGACGGTGACGTCACGGGGCTGTAACGTGCCCCACATAGGCACACGCGGGGCGGCGAGCGAGCTCCCTCCCACATCCCATCGCCGGCTCTGCACCAGGCGGTAGAGCTCGGCGAAGTCGCCACGCTGGAAGGCCAGCAGCGCGCGCGCCTTGGCCAGGCTCTCGCCCGCCTGCGTCTCCAGGCACGGCGCCTCGGCGTCGGGCGGCAGCGAGCCCGGGAAGCGGCCCAGCCGGCCGGGGTCCACCCGCCTGCAGCAGCGCCTCGCACCCGCACAGACCTGCTCCGCCGAGAAGCGGCGGCGAGCGCGGAGGATCGGGCGCGGCGGAGGCCAGCCCCCGCGCTATGGAGAGGACGCAGCAGCCGTCGCCAAACCCGATCCTCCTCCTCCTGCTCCGCCGCCGTCCCTCTGGCTCTCGGCTGGGAGGAGCCTGCGGCGATGGGGCGGGCGCCGAAGTTGGCAGAAGTTGGCGCGCCTCCTCAGCAGCGCCTTCGTCCTCCTCCTCCTGCCTCTGCTCTCCTCCGGCGGCGGGGGCGCGCCGCCCTCCCCGGCCGGGGGGCTCGGCGGGCCCGGCGGGGAAGGAGGCCATGTTCGCGGGCACGCGGAATCGCGGCCCCCCTCGCCCGCCTCCGGCCCGCTCCCCCTCCCCTGCACGCTGCCCTAGCCGTGCGGGTCTCCTCCCCCTGCGCCGTCCCCTTTCCACATCCTAGGCAGCCGCGGTCCGCCTACCGCCCCCGGGCCGCGGCGCGGCTCCCAGCCCGGGCTGGCCTCCACCTCCTGGGACGCGCGCCCACCCCCCGGGCCCCCCAAACTTCGGAGCAAACTCTTCCAGACGCTTCTCCCCGCCTCGGTCTCCCTCCTTTCCACTTCTCTTCCCCCCTTCCTTCCCTCTTTCTTTCTCTTTCTCTCCCACCCGCCTTTCCTTCTATTAACTTTCCTTTCCCCTCCCTTCGTCCTTCCTACTTTTACTCCTGGGCTCCTCCCCCCTTTGCGCAGCCACAAATCAATCTCTCTCTCTTTTTTCCCCTCTCTCTCTTCTTTGGCTCAGACGCAAAAAAGCGCCGCTTTTTGGAAATCCGGACTGCTGTCGCCCGCTGAAACGATACTTTAAAAAAGGAAGAACCCACTGGCTCTTATTTCTGGTTTAAAGCAGTAGACTCCCGAACTCTTTTGGCCCACTGCCCCCTTGGTTCACATCCCCCAGTGTCCCCTATGCTTACTCTATAGAAAGCATTACAGGGGTTAACGCGGCTCGCTAAGGAAGATATTAATAGAATTCTTGCATTTGGGGGGAGACCCTAACAGTCATCTACCATTACCTTCTATGCTGTTACTATTTTTTAATTTTTTTTGTTACCATAAGTAAAAAGTGACCTTTCCCATCTGGCATGGTGGTGTGCCTCGAGATTTTTTTTCATGAAACAAGTGTGCCTTTGCCCAAAAAAGGTTGGGAAACACTGCTCTAGACAACCAAAACATTAAGTATCCCTTTAATACAATGCATGGAAAACTTATTATTCCTAGATCCAGCTTCCTGTGCATAGTTTGGTTGGGCCCTGTATAATTATATGAGTGGAAACACGCTGTTAATAACACCAAAGGATATATTATAAGGAGGTTAGGATAATATGCGTAATCACTGTGGGTTGCACCTTGTTAGATTCTGGAGAAGGAAAATGTTACATTCTCTTTTTTTAATAATAATAAAAAACCAAGGACACAGTCTTGTAATAATAATGCAAAGGGAAGGTGAAAAATGAGGTAAGGCAGCTTTGGTTAGCATAACAAAGACCTTCATTTTCACAGCCATTATGAAAAA